ACTGCAACTCTCCCTAGCACTAGCAGTAGCCCAGGAGTCAGCAGTTCAAGGTGCTTTGTTGGAGCTACACAGGGGCTCTGGATAATGAACTGGGCGCAGGCCTCTGGGGTTCTATATATTGGTGCTTTCTAATACAGATGCCTCCTCTTCTGGGGAGGTGGGACCTTCCCCCACCTCTGGCATATCAGGTGGGAACCTAGCACCAGACAGCAAATTTCCCAGCTTCTACCACACTGAGGTTTATGACAGGGAGTGATGGCCTTGGAGATGGGCTTGGATGCCAGTGACAACTCCCAAGTGCCCATGGCCAAGGGGAAACAGATCTCTCATGCTCTCTGAAATCTTATGCTCTCTGAAATTGGATCAGAAAGCCGCTGCCAGTGCCTGCAGGGTCTGGGGCAGGGACACTTCCTAATTCCTTGGGGACCTGTGTTACACTCCCAGATTGAGTCCTTCGGTCTTTAGAGGATTAAATCACAGGCAAATGTAACGCTAGGATTCCGTCAGGAGCGTTATGCGTGTGGCCAGAATCCCCAACAGCATTTGGAGCACTTCTCCTGAAGAAAGTTTCTTAAGTTATGGGCCACTGCAGTAGGAATCCATCCACTCTCCCTGAAGAACTGGGCCAGAGTCTCCTTTAATTCCCTTGGGCCTGCCAAAGTCAGCAGTGAATGGGGAATGGGGCTGTCTGCCTGTACCCCTGAGAAGGACACTGGGGCTGGAAGGATGCTTTGGGGATGTGATGGGGGGCACTGCCAGCCCCTTCCTCACCGGGATCTGCCGCTCCGGGGGTGGGTTGTTCTCTGGAACCACCGTCTCCACACAGGTGATTTTCTCGATGTCCACTGACCCCTTCTTACTGCCTCGCCGCTACAGAAGGGAACAGGGCAGGAAACGGGGAGAAAGGGGGAGAACGGGAGGGAGGGAAACAGAGGGACATTAGTCTTCATGGGCACAGTTTAGCACAGACACTGCTTCTAAACACTGATGCCCAGCTCCTGCTGACATTAGGGCACAGAGGGTGTTTGATAGCAGGGTGACAGAGATCCATCTTCCCTGCGTTTGGAACTGTGGTGAGCATTGGCAACGTGTAGGGGGTGCATGCGGGTGCACGTGTACCCCCTGAGCTTGGTGGGGCACCCCCTGCAAAAAGCACTGCCAATGCTGCCAGCGCCAGGCTGGCCCCTCCCCCCCCAACACTGCCAGCAGCGTCTGTGGCCAGTCCCTGATTGCCACTGGCCACTGCTGACACTACTGGTAGGGTCTGCGGGTGGTTGCTGACCGCTGGTTGGCACTTGCTGCCACGCGCCCCCCCTGCTGATGACACTGCTGCAGCTGCCTGCCGGAGCTCCCTGCTTGCCGCGGACACTGCCACCTGCAGGTGGTTGCTGTGCCCCCCCGGCCTCTGGGGGCACGAGGCGCTTATGGTGGTGAGGTACCTGCAGCTTCCCCTGGAGGCCCACGGATACTGGGCTCTGTGCTGTAATGGCAGTCTCCTAAGGAACTGCCATAAGAACACAAATGAAGGCTTGGGAAGTTCCAAGCCCTGCAGAGCAGGGAGCACAGATTCAGCTGCTTGATTTCTGTCACAACCCATTGATGCCACACAGAGATATGAGCTGTGTTGTCTGGAGTGGATCAGAGTCTAGAGCCAAGCTTTCCCCAAATTCTGGGGTTGCTGGGCCTGGGGAGGCGGCCAGAGAATTGGGCTGGCCACTGAGTTTGGATCCTGATCTAGGCCCAAGCTTCTCCAGAGTTTGGTGCCGAGGTCATCTCTGCCTGGGTTGTCAACTTCCAGGTCCATTTCTGCTTGACCACGACAGACTGACACAGCTGAGCTTGTGCAGCCTGTAGGTCAGAAAGCATGGAGGTTAGGCCTCCATCCATACGCTTCCCTTCCACCCTGCTCAGCTCTGCTGCAAGGCCCTCTGCTATTTGCCCATTGTCAGTCATACTATGTTACTGTAACCAGCTGTGTTTCAGTGTCCTCTAGCTAAGCAGCAGATCCCCAAAAGGAGCTTACCCTTAAGCAGTGCCTCCCCCCAGCCCCATTTGTCAAGCTCCCAGCTATTTGCTGAGCCACCAACTCACTCCACGCTCGAAGTCGTACTCATAGTAGGAGAGCTTGCTTTCTGTCAGGAGGAAGAGGCGCTTCTTGAAGTTGAGAGGAGATGTTTTCTTCTTCTGCTGTGAACGTTTCAGGAAGATACTCTCCAGAATAGCTGCCATGTCGTCCTCTGCCTCGTCCTCTGTGCTGCACTTGCTGGCCTGCCGCTGACCAGGCAATGGAGAGAGCAGTCAGCCAACAAGCAGCCTAACAGACCCCACAGTGCTTAAACGGCTGCTAACCTATACACATGCTCCAACACGTTCTAATTAGATTAATTGAGTCTGCTCCATGTTCTAAGTAGAACACTCTAGTATTGCTGCAGCATCATGTATATAAACCTTGTGGGTTTAAAATAGGCCACTGGGGTGCTTCAACTGAAGCTTGTCAAATAAGCTTTAGTTAAAGTGTCCCACGGCCATTTTTAAATGTGAGGGGGCTTAATACAAATGATGCTGAGGCATTTTAATTAGAGTGGCTCTTTGGGAACACCCCTCCCCCACAAACACGTGTATAGGCACCCTAGTAGAAAACCACGTGGTGTTTGACACCGTTGCCCACAAATCTCACAACAGCTGCCACGGGACTTCTAGGGGAGCTAGATCAAACTTTCTCTGTACTCACCCCGTTCTCCTGGGACAGGCAGAGGGAGAACCCAGACTGACGGGCATTGTGAGCCCACCTGACTGGGGCCTGCCGGGTAGAAAAATGTTCACAGACATGCAAGGGGAAGGGGAGCCATTTACAAACTCAACCTTCAGCTTTCAGTTCCTTTTTTTTTTTTTTTACAAGTTGTGGGTTGTGTTTTTTGCCAAGTCCCAACAGTCCCCAAGAGGGAGATGACAATATCTAAGCAGACTGCAGTTCCAGTCAGATGCATAATGCAAACCCTAGTGACTTCTTCAGGCCAACACAGCTATGACTCTGGAAGGAGCCTCCGGGAGGGGTGGCAGAGGAGGGAAAGAAAGAGACATGCAACTATAGGACCATAGCTGATTCTTATCAATGATGTTGAAGAATCCCCAGTATGCGTGTGTGTATTGTGGGGGAGGTGGAATCCAGTGGTACTAACCTGCAAATGCTTGCACCATTTATGCAGAGTTAAGTGATGACTCTGCACTGTGGAAGCAGTAGCTGGTAACAGTAAGATTCTTGAGGCTTGTGGGTAGATCCTGGCTCTGATACAGCTGTTCTGTATTCCTCTACTCTAAATGCTCCCAGTAGCCTCAGTGTAGGGCATGGGTAGTGGACATGGCATGAGTGCTGTGGGGATTCCCAGTGGCTTTATCAGCAATCAGGCATATGTTGTAGCGGGTCTGGGACTACTGCAGTTTACAACAGAAGCACTCCCCCCTGAGAACTGTGGCATTGTACACGTGTTGGTTCATAGTTTCATAGTAGCTAGGGTCAGGAGGGACCTGAACAGATCATCTAGCCTGCCCTCCTGCCACAGGCAGGAATGAATGCTGGGTTCACAAGACCCCAGACAGGTGATCATCCCACCTCCTCTTGAGTTTGCCCAAGGTAGGGGCGAGGACCACTTCCCTGGGAAGTTGGTTCCAGATTTTGGCCACCCTAACTGTAAAATATTGCCTTCTGATCTCTAACCTAAACCTATTCTCTATCAGCTTATTACCATTGTTCCTCGTCACCCAGGTGGTGCTGGGGAGAAAAGGGCTCTGCCTATTTGCTGTTGATCTCCCCTGATGAGCTTGTAGGCAGCCACCAGGTCCCCCCTCAGCCTCCTCTTGCTGAGGCTGAACAGGTTCAGGTCCTTCAGTCTCTCCTCGTAGGGCCTGTCCTGCTGCCCTCTCACCAAGCGGGAGGTCCTCCTCTGAATCCTCTCCAGGCTGGCCACATCCCTTTTGAAGTGCGGCACCCAGTACTGGACGCAGTACTCCAACTGTGGCCTGACCAAAGTCGCATAGAGGGGGAGTATCACTTCTCTGGACAGGCTTGAGATGCACCTTTGGATACATGACAAGGTATGGCTGGCCTTGCTGGCTGCAGTCTGGCATTGGCGGCTCATGTTCATCTTGGAGTCAATAATGACTCTGAGATCCCTTTCCGCCTCTGTGCTTTCAAGAAGGGAACTCCCCAGCCTGTATGTATGCTGTGGATTCCTTCTCCTAAGGTGCAGCACCCTGCATTTGTCTACGTTGAACCCCATCCTATTCTCATCTGCCCACTTTTGTAGTCTGTCTAAATCTATTCGCAGCCTCTCTCTCCCTTGTAAAGTCTTCTCTACTGTAGGCCCAGCCCAGGTCCTGCTCTGAGCACAGGGCTTCAATTCAGAGAAGTGCTCAGATTTATTTTACTTCATTGAGTTCATCCCTGCTGGGGGCAGATCAGTCCTCTTTAATGTGTTCATAAGCAATCTAGATAGAGCTGGATCCATTCCCCACTACAGATCCATAAGAACTAGAAATCCAAACATGGACCTGAATTCTGCAGCTTGGTGGCATCTCTAGGTGACATCAATTACTCTTGTTCTCCAGGCTTGTCACCTATATTGTGCATATTAGTAGATAGTAAAATAAAAATGTTTAGTGTATGCACTTCCCACAGGTACAGCAGTCTGCAGCCTAGACACTCTGACATTAGACGGACTTCAGCCTGAGCGTATAAGGCTGTATTGCTCCACAAATCAGGCTAAGTCAAGCTGAGGACCCAGACAGTTACATATAGAAATTTAATTTGGTTACTCTGTGCAGCTGCTTGGAAACACCCACTTCCCTAC